AAGGGCCTTACAAGGTCATCACCATCGCGATCGTCCATTTCAACTCATTCATGACTCATAAGGAAGAACAGAGACGCGAACTGGTGAACGCGTTCCTCAACGAGATTCTCCCTTTTAAACCGGATGTAATAGCGGGAGATCTCAATAATATTGCGTCGAGGCTCACCTTAAAAGGTGGAGACGTTCACCCGCGAAACAGTTTGTTTTCTCTATACCTGGAGAAGAAACTTGCAGCATTCAACAAAATAGCAGGAAGGCACTCACAAGTGCGACATCTTTGCTTGAACAACTCCGACCAGCACAGACTGGCACGTGCAGATCGTCTACCGGCGGACCCGGCGAAGAAAGTTGCTGACCTTGACTGTATCAACAGTTATATCCTTGACTGGAGTAAAACGCCGCACACGGCGTCACCTAGTCCAAGAGAGGTCACACCTGCCGCCGAAAGAACATACTGGGAGCGAATCTCAGATATGTGGCAGGACACGAACAACAACAGGGATATTGATATCCGTCTGTTTGTCTCAGTCAAGCAGTACTATTCAACTTTTTCTAACCTTGACCTATGGTTGAGTCCCACTGACAAAGATTGGCACAGCCCTTTGGGCTTCACGATACAACCAATCCTTACAAAAGGGAAACACAACCGGTCAGATGCCCAGGTCCAGAAGATCGCTGACAAGCGAAAGGCTTACAAGCAGCGTAATGCTGAATACTGGGGTTACAACGATTCATTCGTTTACTCATCCGGCAACAGCTGGTACGACAAATCGCAACCATCAGGTAGCCATCACAGATATGGAAGATTCTGGGAGTGGCCACAGCCTGAACGTCCCAGCGAGCCTGAAGGTCCTCCTCCAAGAAGGAACCAGGAATCATCGTCCTCTTCACAACAAGATCTACCAAGATCAAGGTCCAGGCCTCAAAGAACCAATATTGTTGACAAGCTCAACATGTCTTTGGAAGAGCTGGATGGACTAGAAGAAGAACCGTCACCAACAAAAAGTGACATCGAAGAACATGAAAGAGAAACATCAAACTTGATGTCTGCTCAGAGAGATGAAGAGGAACAAGAGGACGAATCCTCCAGCCGGAGAAGAAGAAGGAAGGCATCGCGTCCACCGTCTGCTCCGAGCGGCAAGGCACTCAGAACAGCTGCTACAGCAGCGGGGTTGTCGGGCTGGTTCGGACACCGCAACCGAGGTGGAGCGAACGCAGAGTCTACCAAGACTGATGAAACTTCACTTCCAAACTCACTAACCAGTGAGCAGGACTTCTCCGTCTTCAGCATCGCGTGGAATGTGTTCCTGCTGCTAATGGGCTTACACTGGATGTGGAAGCAGATTACCAGGCCTCCTATCAGATGTATGGAGCGCCAACAACCAAAATCAAAAGCAGCAGCGAACCAAAGAGTTCCATTCCTCGAACCCGAGGATGAACCGCAGACGCGTGAACCTTTAGGACCCAACAGGGTCAATTCCGGAGAAACAACTGATCTGCGACCTATCTGGCATACTTCCCGAAGCGAAGTCTACCATCTCTCAGACAGCTGTTACCAGCTCAAGCAAGCAAGAGATGTTTGCAAGAAGGTGCTGTGCAAAAACTGCCTCCATGCAGTACAAGTTGCGGAGATTCGCAGGAACGATCCTTTCCAAAGAGGTGATACACGACCACGTGGCACCGAAAGAGACATTGAGCGCTTCCAGACCTACGATGATGCAAGTAACACTCCTCACATGACACAATTATTCAAGGATGCCTTGCATGCACAAATGGCCGAAGAAGCCATGCAGATTACCTATACATCGATCCCCAAGGGATCCTCGGCAAAGGCCAGAGGTACATCTGCACTCTCAAGTGCCGCATCGTCATCAGCGCCCAAGGCAATGCCACCAGGGCCTAACAAGGCAAACATGTCACCTCCACCTAAGAGTCCTCCGCCAAAGGCGAAAGGAACAGTACCTTCTGATCCTCCGAGACCAAAAGGTCCTACCAGAAGAGGAGGTCAAAATCGGCGCATTCAACGAAAGGCAGCTAGAGAAGCCCACAACAGTGGACTCTGCACTTATGCAGACGCTGCACTTGACGAAGCCAATCAAGGCCAGGCAATTAACGTTACGTGCCGAAACATAGTAGCAAGACACGTCAGCTCTATCGATGCAACGGTAGAAGCAGCCGGCCAGTTTACACAACGCGTGCTACAGCACGTAGAAACATATGATGAAGAGGAACCGTGGAGCACGGAGTTCCTACCAGTCGTGGAAGTCCTATTCAGGAACTTAAGCGGCGACGAAACAACTGTCATACATGACAATCAAACGGTAACTATGCCTCTTGCGAAATACACAGACCTCCTCAGAATCGCACAAGCATTGCGAGGCTCTATCCAGAGAGACAAGGAGGAAAGAAAGGAACATCTTGACACCATCCAAGATACTCTATCCAGAGTGGAAATCCTTCTAACAGCACTGAAGGACTCAAGGACAGTCTTTAACCAATTGGTCCATTCCTCACTAGAGATAGAGCGAAGAAATAACAATCTCAAAAATGTCCTCGAGACACTCTTTGACGACCAAAGCTCTGAGGAAGACCAGTCAGAATCTGACAATGAAGAAGTCCTAACTCCTTCTGCAGCACAGTACTGGAATAGCCTTTATGCCCACGCCTTATCTCCTTCAGGAGATGAAAGTGAAAGATCATGGGCGTCCTCAGACGGACAGCTTGAAAGAAGAAGGGCTGAACGGGCAAAGGCTAAGCAGCCGCAACCGGCAAAAGCCAAGGCAACTCCAGCCAGCTCACAAGCTGCTCCAAAGGCCGAGCCAAAGGCGACAACATCCAACCATGGATATGATACTGCAGACGCCGCCTTCACCAGGGCTGAGAACAGATTACTCGGAATCTTTTCAAGTTCCGAAGAAGACCACTCAGACCCGGATGAGCCACATCCGAACGTCTACGCTCGAGCCTATGATCCAAACCTGGATCCAAATCTGAGATAAGAGAATCTCAGAGTTTCACAATAGTGACTCACAAAGCTCTAACAAGAGCAAAGTGAAAGGCTGCATAATTCGATGTAGAAAACATCACCAGACATGATCTTGTACAGATGATCTCTCTGACCAACATGCATGAGTGTGTGTGCAAAATGAGTGGAGTGTCCTCAGCAGTGTACTTCAGTGCTATACCTAGCATAAATAACATGCTGTTTTTATCATGAGTCCAAACTCCGCAACTGTGACAGTGGGCATAACAGTATATGTGTGAATGTGCGGCCATGCTTCCGGTAAAAGAAAATTAGTGTCTGTTTGAAACCATAAACCTCTAAAGGGGTAGCTCTAACAGGTACCTACAGCAATGGCTGCATGCTCATACATATACATTCCGCTGCCCATTGGCTCACAGTGGTTTTACCATATTGAGACAAGACAAGCTCTCCTTGCGTAGCAAGACAAAACAACTACTGTCCGTGTGCAGGGCGCTGCCCTTTGATCCTTAGGGAATAACTGGTCATACACCTCCTCACAAGGAGTATTCCTTGGGGGTGTATCGGCACAGGGGGAGGGGGGGGGAGGGGGGGGAGGGGGAGGGGACAAATCAGGTAAAATGAGGGGAAGCCGGGCAAGGGGGTGGCAAACGAACGCAAAAAGCGGGTGTCACCAATCATTCAAGCTGCAGGAAGGAGGTAACCCCCAAGCATTGATGGCAGACGCAAGATAGTTTAGACATGGAAAACAAACCTTTTATAGGGTTTAGGGTTTAGTTTAAACACAGAAAAACAAACTTTCGCAGTCCCGGGTAGGCGCAAGTTAGTTTAGACATGGAAAACAAACTTTTTATAGGGTTTAGGGTTGAGTTTAAACACAGAAAAACAAACTTTCGGAGTCCCGGGTTTAGGGTTTAGTTTAAACACAGAAAAACAAACTTTGGGAGTCCCGGGTAGGCGCAAGTTAGTTTAGACATGGAAAACAAACCATTTACAGGGTTTAGGGTTTAGTTTAAACACAGAGAAACAAACTTTCGGAGTCCCGGGTTTAGGGTTTAGTTTAAGCACAGCAAAACAAACTTTCGGAGTCCCGTGTAGGGTTTATAAAATATATTTATTCTTCGCTTTTAACCCCCCTGAAACGATTTCGTGCGGCTCTTCTTCGTGTATGTAAGACAACCTCCATTTTCCGAGTTTGTTCATCTCCCCTCGGAGTTTGTTTGGAGTAGAAAAACAAACCCCTGCCCCCAGAGTTTGTTTTTTTGTTGGAAAACAAACTCCTCCCCCAAAGTTTGTTTTCTGTAGGAAAAACAAACTTCCCACCCCAGAGTTTGTTTTCTATAGGAAAAACAAACCCCGGCCGAGCGAGTTAGTTAGTTTCCCAGTCCCCCTAGCGTCACTTGAACAAACAAACTTCTTCCTTCGGAGTTTGTTTTTCGTAGGAAAAACAAACCCCTACCCCCAGAGTTTGTTTTTCGTAGGAAAAACAAACTCCCCCCCCCCCCCCCCCCCGAGTTTGTTTTCGTAGGAAAAACAACTTCCCCCCCCCCCCCGAGTTTGTTTTTTCGTAGGAAAAAACAACCCCCCCCCCCCCCCCGAGTTGTTTTTCGTAGGAAAAACAAACCCCCCCACCCCCCCCCGAGTTTGTTTTTCGTAGGAAAAACAAACCCCCCCCCTCCTCAAGAGTTTGTTTTTCGTAGGGAAAACAAACTTCCCCTCCCCCAGAGTTTGTTTTTTGTAGGAAAAACAAACTCCGGCCGAGCGAGTTAGTTAGTTTCCTCCCTCCCCCCCCCCCCCCCCCCCCCACCCCCCTCCCACGAGGCATATGAGTTAGTTTCTTTCAAGGAAACAGACCCCGGCCCGACGAGTTAGTTAGTTTAGTTTTAAACCCTGGAAATAAACTCTTGCTAAAGTTTCTTTCTCTTAGAGTAAACTAACTAGCCTCCGCCACTTGTCCCCCCAAGACGCCTGGGCCTCTGGCCTCGGCGGATATGTAAGTCGGGCTTGTGGTTAGCAGGACCTGGATAAGTCCGTGCCTGAGATGGTTTGCAGGGGTGCACATGATTTCTTCAAGATATGTGTGTGTGTCTCATTTGCTGGATTTCAGAGTTCGTGCTCGCATCATCGAGTGTCGGGTTCAGGTCGGTAGCGGGCCGACGGTGTAACCGTTCCATCGTAAAGCTGGGCAGATCAGAGCTCCTTACAGTCGTGCCAGCCAAAGTTCGAGGAAGCCCCAGACGAGGGAGCTTCAGACCCTCCTGAACTCCTAAACTTGACAGCCTCAATCGTGGCTACGAGAGCTTCTGCAAGTCTCAGGCTCCGGGCACGCGTGCTGCGAAAGTTTTGCGTGTCACAGGCCGGTTGTTTTCTCGAGTTTTTGGATTCTGTGGCTTGTTGGATGTGAATGAATATTGGGTCTGGTTGCAGAGAACATGGCCTGCGTGGTGTCCTTGCCGACGTAATATACCTAAACGCAGGCTTGTCGAGTGTTCAATCCATGCGGAGATCGGCTACAAATTCAGTTGCCTCCGAAGGCTTTGACAATGCACTGCTAAAGTCGAGTTCACATGTTCCCCCTGGGCGGTTGCGTCAGGCCTCAAGTAGTCTCCACCAAAGCTAAGGGACATGTCGTGACATGTTTGTCGCGAAGCTCTTTGTCTACGACAGACCAATCTCAACCTTCGATAAGGCAAGCTCTTCCCCCATCTACAAACCCGAGCCCCCAGCCTTTTGCATGGGCTGAATCCTTTTTTCTGGAATTTCGTAAGTTGCCATAATTTGTCCCTTCCAGGTCCCCGAGTCCTGTTTCAGCGTGGCAGCTTGGCTGAGTTAACGGGAGTGAGATGGAGTGAGTCACCCTAGCCTCCGGAAAAGTGGAGCACCCGAAATTGCAAACCGCAGGTGCTCGCGCTGGATGTCCTGTCGGCACCCCGCAAGGGAATCGGGGAGCGAGGTGTCAGTTTCCAATGAACTTGGATCCGAAGTTCTTCGAGCAGCGGCTTTAGAGGCCTCCGTCATTTTATGGAGCAGAGACGAAACAACAGGCGACTTCCTACTGCAAAACCACTGGAGTGGAAGGCAGTTGCTTCGTTTCGAGGTTTCGGAGGACATGTTGTGAGGGTTCCACTGCAACAGGCCCAACATGCCCCACCGTTGTAGGCTTCCTGCAACATTCAGAGTCTTTGCCCTCCGCTGGCAACCCGGCTTAGGATCGCCCATGCTTTCGACCTGCCCAGCCGCCTCTACTCGCCCACGCAGGTCCTTCCGGGTTGGAGGATTGGGCATTCGACATGGTCTTCGTACAGGGGGCTCCGAGGAGGATAGAAAAGATGGCTTCTTGTTGAAGGAAGAGTGTTCAGATTTAGCATTCTAGCATCGCGGATCCTTGGGGAGAGCTTCACAGAATTTCTGCGAAAGAGGCAGCACGTAGCAGCTGCTAACAGATAGCAACGCTAGAGGTCATTGCCCTGAGCCCCCTCAGCCTCGAGCCATGACATCTGCGATCCCGCTAACAACGAAAGCCCTCAACATCCCTCGGCTCTGAAGCCTTGGAAGAGGTAGAGGCGCAGGTTCTGTTCATGATCGCTGGAGGCCTCGCCACGGTGCGAGCCCTAGTCATACGTTTGAGACTTCCTGTCGCACCGCGATAAAGAAGAATCTAGTACCCAGAGTAACTATCTCTCGATATTCCCATAAGCAAAGTCCAGACAGAGAGTATGCATGAAGTCCTGTTTTGTGTTTCAGCCTTTGTTTAAATGGCCCCGGGACCTTGGGAAGTTTGGAGCTTCAACGGCTATTTAGGTTGCAGGTGATGCATCCTGTGTCGTCTTGTTCACTCGTGGTGAGGAGAAGTAGAGGCCGGCTTACAACGCATCTGCATACATCTGCGCATCATACACATGCAGTTTAATTTAATCGGCACTGACTGGACACAGGAACAACCCACCTTGAGGCACAACACTGCCAGGTAAGCAGGCGGACGCGATTCCAAGTTCCACTTCCTACATAGAATTCCAGGTGTGATCTTGCACTGCTTGTAACATGATGAAGCCGAGCTAACCCAAAGCAACAAGCCCAGCTGCCCAGTTTACCCTGGCCCTCGGATTTGCGGACATCATCATCTCCATGTGGATCAAGACTGACTTCGTGCAGGCCACCATCTGCACATGAGGCCGTAGAGGTCTGAGCGATTCGGATTGGCTGACTGTGCCCCTTTTCGGAATCTCAAATCTGCTCTGCGCGGGAGGACAACGCGAATCTGGTGTTGTTCTTTTACCTGGTCGAGATCTGCAGCTGGCAAGCGCCCCACAGTCGGCCTGAAGCCATGCAAATTCAGTGGCATTCAACCTTGATGCCAAGGTGGCCATTCCTAGCGCAGATGGTTCGATATGACCGCCTCCCGACAATGGCCTGAGCTCTCAGGCATCAGTACCACACTCTGTGCGACATACCTGAAACTTGGCAAAACTCAGGTCAGGTACCTTGCGAGCGAAGTGACGGTCATGATTCTCCTGGTTGTGCGGGGGCCTTGGATTTCCGTGTCAGGTTTCTGGGATCCAAGAGTTGAGTCCTTGCAGGAGTTTTTGGGTGCTGACATCCGACACTTGACGCTGAGACCCCAAAATAAAGCGATCCCAAAACCAAAAAACGAACCCCTTTCAGGCCGATCTTAAGACAGCACACAGCTTATTAGAAGGGATGCTCTGCAGGGTGGGCTTCTATGCGATACCGGGCAGCGCCAAGCGGGAGCCCCGGTTTGCATCCTCAACAGCATGCTTCTGGATGGTCGCAGCTCGCACTTCGGTTTAGACTTAGCGCTGCCGTGGCATGTTAAGATAACACAATATTATGATGTAATGTAATAATGCAATATATTAATCGAATATAATAACTATAGCAACTCCATCTGCTTTCGGTCGGGTTGCCTTGGAACTAGCAGGACCACGTGAGGTTCTGAGGCTTTGAAAGGAAATCTGCATCGATGGCGACACAATGCCCAACACCCAGATCCCCGAACCCCTAGGCACATAAGCCATTTAAGCAAGGCTGTCAGTGCTTGAGGCTTGACTGCCTTGTCTCCAGGTTGCGCGGCTCGGTCCTGAACATCATCCTCCACTTCATCGGCCAGGCCTTGGGTCGGGGTGCAGGGGATTCAAGGACCTTTGGGGAGCCTGGAGCTTTACGGCCCTAAACTCAAAACATCAAAAAGCCCATGAAACCCTAATCTAGGGGCCTACCTAAATAAATACTTATACTATTTTGGTGTTTCCTTACGATACCTTGAGTATAATGGCTATTTTAATTAATTATCAAGGCCCCTGCACTAAACTCTTATAGTTTCCCTGATCGTCACCCTTTTCGACGCCTTTAAAGGAAGGCTATTCTAATTGTTAAGGCCCCTATAGTACAGAAAGCCCTCATGTGGCGAGGTAGCCTTGGCTGCCACGCTAAGCCCTTTCCTTGCCACCGCCCGAGCTTGGGACATCGGGGTCCTTTGAGTGTCGGGAGGTTGGGGGGGGGGGGGGGGGTTAGCGTTTAAGGTTTAGGGGCCTTGAGGTGTTATTCAGGCTTTCAGGGTTCAGAATTTTAGGTTTGGGGGGGTCTGTGGTTACGGGTTTATGGTTTGAGATTTCTTTTGGTCAAAACATTTCGCATATGCTTGCAGGGCAGAGGGCCTTTCCGAAGTTGGCATTCCGGCTCTATTCTACTTCTCCGGACAGGCTCAAGGCCCTCAGGGCGTGGGTGTGGGCGTCTGAAAGTGTTACAGGTCATAAGCAGAGGCTTCCGTGATCCACGTCTTGTGAGAGCTTATCTAAGCCAACGGTGTCAAGAGCAGGGTTCTTGTGTTCGAGGTATCTGAACCTTGGAAAACCCTGCTGCGCCGTTTGATTCTACATTCGGTTCGGGACTTTCGAGGTTTATCTAGGAGAGTCTGGGATGCAGAGATTACCACAAAGTTGGCCCCAGGCTGCAAAAAGGCAGAAAGTGTCTTTTGGGGGATGAGCCCAGGCAGCCCTGGCATCCTTGCAACACATCCTACATGAAGACCTTGGTAGCGGTGGCTTCGATCTTCGCTGTGCTACGATTGAGGCGGGAGCAAACTTCTTGTTCTTTGACAACTCACTCACTTTCCGCTTCCTGAACCGGCTGCGACCTGGCCGCAGAAAAGTGCCCATGGCCGGTGAAAGCACAGATCCGTACGGGAATGCGCAAGCCGCAGATGTGTGAGTGAAACTCTTCATGATGGCCTGGAAGCCAAAGCGGTTCCCTCTCAGGTACTATCCTGTTCGGTACGTTCACATCGCGATCTTCGGCGGCTTTTGGAATTCACCATGTAACCGGAGACAGGGATGTTGCGTCAGGTCAGGGTCTGATGTGGTAAGCTGAACGCGACGATTCCGGCAATCCACAACCTTTGCGACGGGAAGCAGAACTGCAACGTAAACGAAGGCCTCGAGATGCTCCTTCAGTCCCTGTCGGGTCAGATGGCGAAGTGCGAAGTTGTGATCTAAACCTGCAAGCCATATTGAAATTCAGCGCTAGCAGCGTGCGGCGTCGACAGCTCAAAGCACATAACAGTCCAACGTGGGAGGGGCTTCCTGCCAATTTGCGAAGTCAAAGCCCTGCGTAGGACAGGCCCGAGGGCAGGAGAGCGATAATGGGACCACAGAGGCCTCCACCAGAACCTTTTGGCGAGAAAATCAGCTGCTGTGGCAAAAGACCGAAAATTTGCGGAGAAAGGTCTTTAATTCTACTAGCCTGCTGTACTGTAGTCTTTACTGCTCTCCATGCCAAGGATGTACTTGGACCATCACAAACAGCACAGCGCTTGCCCGGCTGATCTTGTAAATGTTCCTTTTCTCTGCCCTTTACTACTGTGGGGACAGGAAGGTGAAAAGCATAAGAGACATCGGCATTTGGAAAGAAAGGTCAGCTTGGTTGCTTTGAGTCTTTCGGAACACCCCTGTGATGGTAATCCTGGGCGTTGCGCCTCCGTTTGGGTTATTGTGTAGCACGGTTACCCGCCGTGTTGTAGCACACGGTGTGGCTCGGTTCGGAAGACACGCTGCAGGGGGACGGTAGAGCGGGTTGGGATGGAGTGGGATGGGATGTGAAAGGTCGAGGCACGCTGTTCGGTACGGCTCGGATTTGACGAAGAAACACAGCGGCTCGATGCGATACTGCTAGGAAGTAGTACTAGTGTTGAACTCACGTAATGATAAACATCCCAAAGTCTTCCGGCCCCGCCAGTTCATAGACGCTTTGCTGTATCATCCGCTGAATACCTTCGCCTTCGTGAACCTGCTCCTTGACACAATTGGGTTCAGGGTATTGGCTTTCGGGTTCAGGGTCAGCAGGCTAATTTCCGGAATTAAGATTGGACGTGGCTCAAGCTCCCAGCTGAGGCTCATTCAGCTCGTGCTGGTGCTGCACTCAGACAGCAGAAGGCTATGAACATATGGAGGAGGGATGAGGTCTGGTGCTCCACACTCCCTAGATTCATTGCCTTTTGACCAGGCCAACTGAGTGCGATCACCTAAAGTATGTACAGTTCTTTCTTTATGCGTCAAAGGTCTACCTCGTGGTACCGTGGGTGCGGCGCTCCAGCCAAAAGCAGAAAGCAGAGGACCATTGATTCCAAGCGCCCGGCTGCGGGGTTTTGAGGGAGTGCAGATGGCAAATCGAGAGCATCCAAAGTGTGTAACGAACTGCGTGAGTTCGAGATGCAGCAACGGCTTGAAGGCCCAGGCTCTTGTACGCCTCGAGCTTGAGAAGCCGTGGATTGACTCAAAGGGCCAATGCTTTGGATTTGGCTTGCCAGCTGCCGTGGCAAAAGGGCTGGCCATCGGCTGTGGTGACACACCAGCAGCAGGATGTTTGGCTGTTAACGAGGAGGTATCTTGCTTCATTGTGCTAGGCTCCAATTGTAGAAGTGACATCTCAATGTGGTGATCCAGACGAGCTCATGCTTCCAAAGCCCTCTGTAAACACCCAAGACGACACTCCCCAAGTGCCCCAAGACCAGCAGGAGAACCACAGAACCCCACAACCCATCTTCTTCTTGCCCCGCAAGCAAAGACCGAACGTGTCACAAGCCACAAGAACTACCATATAGGAGTTTCAGCAGAAGACGGGCGGACTCACCTTGGCGGAGGCCGAAGGAGTTCTGAATAGCAGGAAAGCCCTGGAGCGTAAGACGCGTGGTTTAACTGGAAACATGAGGAAGCCACACTCCAGATCTTGCAACCGATAGACAAAGTAGCACACATTTTTTGGGCGCCACCGCTGTCACGGGTGAACCCCAGCACTCCACTTGGCTTTGGCTCGCATTTGTTTGGGATCCTCACAGCATTTAGCGACGATTCCCCATGGCCAGGTCACTGCTGTGGCAACGCGTGTGTCGATGGCCGTTGAAGAAAAGCAAGGCAGGAACGGCTCGAATCTGCAGGGTTCAGATGGAACTTCTGCGGGTTGCGGATGATGCATCGGGGTTTTGATCTCCGTAGAAACAGGAAGGACTGCCTGCCTCCACCATTCTTATCACTTCCTCATCGCTAAGCCTGAATTAACATGTTCACATGGTGTTTACTTTGTCGAAACACTGCATGCGGCCCTGGCCCCGTGGTCAGAATTATTGTGTCAGTGCCGTTTGGTTCGTTCGAACCTGCAGCCTGGTTCGCCTCCCATTCCGCTTTGCTGTCCAAGACCTATCGAGTCCTCGGATACTCTCCAGGATCCAGCAGCAAGATGCGCGCTCAATCCGGTCTCAGGCGGGGGCCGTATGGTGTGACCATCCCCGCAACATTACAGGGCCTGCCCGTGTAGCCCTTGGCTGTACAGTACCCAGAGACATCCCGCTATGCCTCGGAGGTCCAGCATTTTCCACGACATGCCAGACGAACTTGGCGAGGTGCGGCTATTGCTGACGCTGACCCAAGGTAGAGTCTATGTCTGTACGCAGACATGAGCTATGCCTGGCCTCGTGGTTACGGATCCACTCGGCCGCCGAAGTCTCAATCTTTGAGCAAGCGTTGACGTGGCATGACTCCAAATCTACACTCCGGCCAAACACTAGCAGTGCCAAACCTTGCCGGCGAAGCTTGCCAAATAAATCTAGACTGGAACAAGTAATCCCGCTTCAAGCTACCCCACTCCGGCTGCAGTGGATGCTTGGCAGGACAACTTTGTCGAAGTCTTGAATGCTGTCGGAGATACCTTCGAGGCCTTGGATTTCGAGGTTTGGACATGGGTTGTTCGTTTCGAGACAGCAGGGCCGTTGCAAAGAGGTCAGGTAAAGGTTGGGCATCCTGTGCGAGTTGCTCCGTCCTCGCTGTGCTTCCGTCAGGCGTTGCTCTTGGCAAGTCAGGCCGACAGCCCGCAGTCTTCCCAGAAGGGGACGGGATGGATTTCTTCCAGCTACCGTACCCACATGAACGTGCCGGACATGAGAATCGTGTCTCCTCAAGACGAGTTCTTTGTTCATGCCTTGGGCCATGGCTCAGCGGCAGGAGAGCCTAAAAAGCTGAAGATGACCCTAGGGCGGAAAAGGGTCCACAATCTGGGTCTGAGGCGGGTTCGCTGCGCTGTGCTCCGAGTCGCCATCCAGCCCCTCTCTGAGGCAAGGGCACGTATAACTATTTCAGGTATACTGGGGGCTGGATACTCCAGCCTCCGAAGCGCTTCAAGTGTCTCGGCTCCGGGCTCAATAGCTTGGAAACTGGCGAGTGGGCGAAGTTGGAGCGTTTGGAGCATTCGTGACGGAACTTCGGCTCGCGACATTTCTGTGTAAATCCTGGTCCATTGCGCTCGGCTGCAGAGTGTTGGAACGCCTCGTTGAGTAAGATACCCCGAGAAAAGCACGGTAGCCTTTTGAGTTACCTATATTATTTTGGGGGGTTCCTTATTGTGCTAATAGTATAATGGGACCCAAAACCCTAGTCTTTGGCAGCTTCAGGGACCGCTCCGGTGGTCTCCCGCAGGCTGGGCCCTCCAAGCTCCTGCAGCTGCTGCCTCTCATCCTCCCGCAGTTGCTGTTGGCGGGGGCCCTGCTCGAGTTCTGCGCGCTTTTCAGTTGGTCGGGGTGCTTGAGAGATGTGTCTCGCCGAAACTTTTGGATCAAGAAGCCACTGGAATGCCCTAGCAGATCGGGACATCGGACTAGCAACCCTTCCGCATGATGATGCAGATACCCAGCATGACCGGCGTTGACGGAGCTGCTGGAGCTGTTGCAGGCGATGCTGCAGGCATGACTGGCACGCAAGCCATTGGCAACCAAGCCTCAGGTGAAGGCCAAGGCGATAAGTTTCGAAGTTGGATATTAGCATACCATTTGTCTCTTGCTTCTGTACTTTTTCGCTCAGGGTCCTAGAGGCTCACAGGGTCTAGAGCCAGGTGTTTAGACAGCGAGCCTAGGTGTGGAGTCTTCGGCAAGGGTGGCCACGAGCCAGAGGGCCGGTGGTCTGATCCGAGAAGTTTGCCAGAGCGCCTCCTCCAGTATGACGGGTACTCAGAGTCTGAACAGCCTGAACTCCGATCCTTTCAACGTGCGCGCAGAGGAGCTGGCAATGCAGGATTGCTCTCTGGGAGAGGAGGTCCGCAGGATGTGGTCGGAGCAGGAGCTCGTCCGGTCCTTCGGGGGCCGGATGTCCCCGGGCACGCCTGATGGCATGTTCGAGACTTGGGACGGGCGGCTCACCTGTGTACAGGTCGTGCGTGTGCCACTCGTGAGGGAGGCTGACACCTCCGCAATGCAGCATACCCTGACTCAGACCATCCTGGCCAAGGTTGTCAAGTCGCAGACATGGCTGCGGTTTGTCCACGTTATGCCCCACGATTTCATCATCTACTGCTGGTTACCATATCGCATCCCGGACGAGGTGAGCCAGCACGTGGATGTGTTGATGTCAAATCTTCGCAAGCTGGATGCACGCTTCTCCGTGAGACTTCGGCTTCCGGCGGAGCCAGATGCAATCTTCCCGGCGCTCCTCGCTCGGATCACCATGGAGTCTCCTTACAACTACTAAAACTATTAAAATACTAAAACGTCTTCATCCCGTCATTTGGGTTTGTCCCGTCAGACTCAGGCTCTTCGCCAGCAACTACGAGGAGAGGCTGCGGCTTCGGAGCCGGAGCTTGTCAGCGACTTGGCTGTGGGAGCTCAGAGCCTTGCAGGTTAGTTCTGATGAACCCCCCGACACTCCCGTGTCTTCGTGTCTTGCTTCGGTGCAACACCCTGAACCTGAAAGGAGACGGACGTGTCGACATTCCTGGAGGGCGACCACCAGAATGAAGACGATGATGAAGTTTGCGAGTGGGACATAACTTGGGATTGGTCTGAGGACCCCTCGCCTCTGGCGATGTCTTTTGTGTCCCCAGTAGATTCAGGCAGACTGTATGGAATTTTCCCTCAAGCCCCAAATCGCCGCAAGCTTCGAGAGATGCAACCCTGGAACTTCGAACCAGGATGGGGATCCCGAGCTGGGTGAGGACGAGCCCTTGGGCTCATCGGACAGCCAGCCCAGCGAGGGTCAGGAGGGTCAGGTGCCTGGGACCACCTATCTCCATAGGGCAGTGGGCTAATTTGAGTTTGGGAGGTTTAGGCTTTGGCTTTGTGGATCTTCGGATTTCTCGATCCCTGAGAGCAGCCAAGGTCTATGCTGCAGAGCGGAAGGGCAGTTCTCCTCAAGACTCTCCTCTGGCAGAGCCAGAGGAATTTGTCTTAGAGTGGACATTGACATGGGACGACAACGGGTGAGCATCCGATTCCCGAGTACACGACGAGACACGGCAGGAATGCCGCTGTCGACGCTGTTTGCAAACATCCTGCAGGCTGCATTGGCATGTACAGAGCTGCTGCGAAGTGTGGCACGGGCCGTTGCATCACCAAGTCTAGCGATGTGAGCGGGCGCCGCAGGACAAAGGCATCATCTGCCAGATGTGAACGGGGTCTGAAGAAAGCGCCCTCCACTCCTTCACTGTCCTTCGCCTCGAGCCGAAGCCCGAAGCTGCACCACACGTTCGCAAGGCCCCAACACCCCGAAGCGTTCGTCCTCCGAACCCAGTATAAAGTCTCTCCACTACAGAGCCGAAGCCTTTTGCAAGAATCCTGAGAGCGAACAACACGTAGCTCGGAAAGGCCTTGCGGTGGAAGACCGCGGATGACTTTGAGGCTCAGCCTTTGAGCCAGCAGCGGGAGACAGAGCAGGGTGGGAGATTTGGGTGTCGGCGTCTTCATCTGATTTGCCGCGGCCCCCAAACGGAAGTCTTGTATCGAAAGCCTTGAGCAGGACTGCCCGCTGAGCTGCTTCATTTTGGAGAAGGCAAGCTCCCCCATTTCTGAAGTGCCATGACAGCCTCATACAATTCATACAACTCTGCCCCAGGCCCCAAGCCTCTCCATCAGTCTCCGTTCTCCGAGCGACAACTCACACCCTCCGAAAGCAGCCCTAGAGTACGACTGCCACACATAATCCTTACGCATCGCTATGAGCCTGCAGAGAGACAAGCGTAGCTGAAATGTTCAGAACCTGAGTCGCAGTGATGTGGCATGGACCAACGAGGCCTTGGCCCTAAACGACACGGCCCTGGTCTCCATGGCACGAACCTTGAGCTCTGGGGCTTCGAAAGCGGAGCTGTCCGAGGGTTGAGGGCATCAGTTGTTTTGATGCAGGTGCTGAATTCCGACCACTATTGGTCTATTGGTCTTGTTCTCTCGCTGTATTGGTTATTGGGCATTTGTGCTGTTCAGTCGTGAGTGGGTCAGCTTTAGGAAAAACCCTCGGCCGTCCTTAGTTCTTAAGACGTAGATCTAGGGAATTCCTGGTTTTCGGGTTTTCGGCACGTGCAGCTGTGCATGTAGCATCTTGAGTCTCCACGAGGTTTCGGCCACAAACGGAAGGTTTCGCCTAAATCAACCCTAAGATGGTTCACCACACTATCAAATGGCTCCTTCTTTCGAACAAAAGTCTTCTCCCTAGTGTTTCATAAAACATCGCGTTACCAAGCAGTTTAGACTTTGAGGTCTACTGGCAACTCCTTGGCCTGGCCACGGACCACTCGGACAAAGCTTCCGCGATGTGCCGCCTCGCAGGGCCTCGCATGTAGCCGTCATAGCCTTCTTCAGCATTTCGTAGCCGTAGCCCTTTTTCTGTAACCTTGGGAGCTCCCTTCTTGGTACCCCTGAAGAATACCCTGATAGCCTGATAGTACCATCTTCGGGTGGAGTCTGCGAGGATTCAGGGGAGCGAGCGGTTTGGCGGGAGTTGAATGGCCAGTTGAGGGTCTAGAGGTTTGGCCTGTGTGGCTGTTGGTGGGAGTTAGGGATGTGGGCTGTTGGGCCCGACAACATATGCATGCCTGTATTCCGCAGCATTTACATACCTCGTTTCGTTAGATTCCCTCCAAGATCGGCATTGCGACACCCTGTTCCAGCAGCCAGAAAGCTTCCGGTTAAGCTACCTCTAAGCTTAGCTTTGACAGCCGCGTACTTTAAGCTCTTTCGTGGGTCTAAACGTAGCTGGCTTGGGCAGGCTCGCAGCTTCAACACAGTCCACACCTTTGCTTTCACACAATATCATATAATGGATCCAGCGGTGGGTTCGACGGCGCTGGTACCTCTTGGCTTACAATCCAGGTTGCCGGCTCAGCACAAGGAAACGCTGCCTGATGTTTGTGTTACTGGCATAGTGTCGCATTGTCAGGGCAGACACTGCCCACGACAGCTAACAGCTAACTGTGCAGCCCTCTCCGGTACTGACCTCACTCGGCGCGGAGCGTCGGGTGTCCAAGTGAAGGTCGGCTGGATTCCAGTGTACCCTGCGCTCACACTTCAGACTTCTGGTGCTCGTCGGAGCAGGCTCCGACTGAGAAGCCACAATGCTTTCTTTCGGAGGTCTGCTGCGCGGAGCTTCTCTGCGCTTCCTTCGGGCCCCAAGCAGGTGCGCTGTCTCGCAGGGCTGACGCAGAGCTTCGTTGTTTAAAGCGAAGAGTTGGTTGGGCGACGATCGGCTTAAACCCTGAAGACCAGGAGCCACACAATGGCCCCCAAACAGTGCTGCAGCTTTGCGTCAGGCTGCCTTCAGAAGGCGCGGTGGTTTGCAGAGCCAGGCGGGAAAGCTTGCCAGTACCGCCGGTTGTGGTGGGCATCAGGCGTGAGTGAGTATCTGCCTGTGTTTTCCGAAGGTGCATTGATAGCTCGAGCCTGAAACTGCCCTGTGCTACTGCTATTTCGTGGCCTCAGTACATCCGGGAAAACCTCCAACAACGTATGCCCAGTACCGTTGCAAAGGATTCTGCACCGTCAACTCATGAGGCATGCCTGATCTATTTGTCGGCTTCCTTCAGGGCCAAAATACTTCAATCAAACTCTCTGAGATCTTCAGAGACTCCATGAGTGTAACTTTCAGATTGATGGGCATAGGGCCATTGCGGCAGGTCTTGTGAAAAGTTTCGCCAAGAAACGGCGCAATGTCGTTCACGCCAGGGCTCCCACCGCGCCTGGGCGGGTGCGGGTGCCTTTCTCGGCGCCGGCTGCGCTCGTGCCTCCCGGCAGGGCACCTGGGGGATGGCCGCGCTCCGGGTGCCGATTCGGGATGCTTATTACGTAGGTATCTTTCAAGCGGAGCTGAAGTTTGCAGCCTGCAGCCTATCGGTTGCGAGTTGACAGGGTTGTTGCCATTGTTGCCCGTGTTTAGGCGCCCTACTTGCAATTATCAACGGGATTATGAGCTGCCTTTCGAAAAGGTACCTTCTAGAGAACCCTCTTCGCAGCTCACGTTCTGGATCTAGGCAGTCGCAGTCCACTCCGTAACAGAAACCCCCGCTTCCCGTAACAGCCTCGGGAACAGGCCTCGTAACAGGAACCAGGGGTCAGGCACCGAGACTTGCTTTCACGTCGTGAAGGTCGTTTTGTCGTCCAAACTCAGGGACCGTTTTCCCCCACTCACAGGACTTCAGACCTAGGGTCCTGGCTGGGTTGTGCTTGGTTGTAGTACAACCTTAGCAGTGGAAATGCATCGTTTCGGGTGCTGGCTGGATTGTGCTTGGTTGTAGTACAACTTTAGTACTGGAAATGCCAAGTTTCAGACACGGTGTGTGTAATCTATGCCGTGTGTCAGGCGCGGTTACATGGGGGAAAGAGCAAACGTTGTGACTTCTTATCTGCACTGAACATGCGGAGTCGACTTGCAGATTGCTCAAGCATCCCGCGCTTAGATGGTGTGTTTCTATTGTGCTGTTTCCGTGCTATATCCCAAAGCCTGAATGTTATGCAACCCTAAACTCTAGATACCCTGAACAAAAATGCGTGAGCATAAGGCTTCCATGGCCTTATAAAGTAGGGGACCGAAAACTGGTTCCCCAGACAAGACCTCCAACGTAGTTTCGGTTCCTTGCTTTCCGGCCGTAGTTTCTGTTACGCTCCGGTTGCAGTTCCTGTTTCTACGCTGTTCGGTTTCCGTTACTGTCTCGGGACTGGTTTCCGTTACTACCCAAAGTGGTTCCCGTTACTCCTCGCACCCCTGGACCCTCGAGACCATCTTTCGCCAAGGTCTGGGCGCCGCAGCCTTCAGGCTGCCAAGGACTTTTGGAGCATCCAAGAGCCTCCAGAGAGCTGTAGGCCTGTAGGCTCCAGAATGCAAAAAGCTCTCCTCTCAGATCTGAAGCCCCAAAGTTCCTCTTGGAATTCGCAGGAGTTGGAGACGGATCCCGCGGTGCCACAGGACATCTTCAGATGAACCAGATTTTGGAAGTGAGCTGGAGTCAAGGAGTTAGCATTGGGTTTCAAATTGAATTTGCAGATCAGATCAATGCCTGTCTCGGGCCAAGGCCAAGGGGTTTGAGATCCTGAAGATTCAACCCTCTCATATTGAAGACATAACCCACGGGCCTCAACGAGAGAGTCGGCGGTCGGTGACAGAATCCCCTGCGCACTAAAGGTCACTAAAGGCATCGGAAGAGAACAAAGAAATAGCTGCAATTCTGAATCGCCCAAACGATACCAGTGACAACAAAGGTTCAAGCCTTACTGTTGTGTTCTTCTCAACTTCCGCAAATTACGGAAGCCATCGAGCCCCAACACTTGGCACGGCGACTCCCTCTCCTTGGCCTGTGCAGGATGCCGAGGTTCCCTTCGCCGAGGCAAACCCGATGACGGCTGCGGAGGCACATTGCCAAACACGTTCCGGGCATCGTTATGATGCGCGGCTATTGTCGATCAGTTTTTGCATCTTCCAACATTACTTGGATACTGCTGCGCAGAGGCTGCAGAGGTTTTTGAAGGGATGAGGGCACAGGGAATAATGTTGGCTCATGGGCTCACATACAGGTCGAGAATTCGCTTATGCTGTTCGGTTGTGTCTTGAGGGGCTCGGTCCCTGTAGTGTCCCTGTGCTTTGGGAAGCATCCACCTTCGACATGCGAATAGGCAAGATGAGATGATCAGAGCTGAAAGTGGGTATCCACATGTCACTGCTCCGTAGCATCTTGTGTGCTCCACGCTCCACAGACGACAGTGCGGAGCTGAAGGCATGAACTGTCCGCAAGAAGTCTTGTCCTTCTCGGCAGATGTACCACAGCGATGCCACCTGTGTTTCAGGAATCGTCTCCGAGTGAAGAGCTCTCAGAGACGGAGGCCTGAAGCCTATACAGCCCTACGGATTCCCAGCAACCTGAACATTGCGAGGTCTTGAAAGAATCTCGACAGTGAATGTAGCGGGGAGGACATGTAGACCCGGAGTGAGGTGATTGAAACCGTCACAGCAAATCTCAAATCAGTCAAGACCAAGGCCTTTCTTGTTGAGAGCTCGGCCGCACAATGCCAAAGTTCCTCTTGGAATTCGCAGGAGTTGGAGACGGATCCCGCGGTGCCACAGGACATCTTCTGATGAACCAGATTTTGGAAGTGAGCTGGAGTCAAGGAGTGCATTGAATTTGCAGATCAGATCAATGCTTGTCTCGGGCCAAGGCCAAGGGGTTTGAGATCCTGAAGATTCAACCCTCTCATATTGAAGACATAACCCACGGGCCTCAACGAGAGAGTCGGCGGTCGGTGACAGAAGCCCCTGCGCACTAAAGGTCACTAAAGGCATCGGAAGAGAACAAAGAAATAGCTTCAGTTCTGAATCGCCCAAACGATACCAGTGACAACAAAGGTTCAAGCCTTACTGTTGTGTTCTTCTCAACTTCCGCAAATTACGGAAGCCATCGAGCCCCAACACTTGGCACGGCGACTCCCTCTCCTGCTGCTGCACAATTCTCAGCGTCAAAATCTTGGCCTGTGCAGGATGCCGAGGTTCCCTTCGCCGAGGCAAACCCGATGACGGCTGCGGAGGCACATTGCCAAACACGTTCCGGGCATCGTTATGATGCGCGGCTATTGTCGATCAGTTTTTGCATCTTCCAACATTACTTGGATACTGCTGCGCAGAGGCTGCAGAGGTTTTTGAAGGGATGAGGGCACAGGGAATAATGTTGGCTCATGGGCTCACATACAGGTCGAGAATTCGCTTATGCTGTTCGGTTGTGTCTTGAGGGGCTCGGTCCCTGTAGTGTCCCTGTGCTTTGGGAAGCATCCACCTTCGACATGCGAATAGGCAAGATGAGATGATCAGAGCTGAAAGTGGGTATCCACATGTCACTGCTCCGTAGCATCTTGTGTGCTCCACGCTCCACAGACGACAGTGCGGAGCTGAAGGCATGAACTGTCCGCAAGAAGTCTTGTCCTTCTCGGCAGATGTACCACAGCGATGCCACCTGTGTTTCAGGAATCGTCTCCGAGTGAAGAGCTCTCAGAGACGGAGGCCTGAAGCCTATACAGCCCTACGGATTCCCAGCAACCTGAACATTGCGAGGTCTTGAAAGAATCTCGACAGTGAATGTAGCGGGGAGGACATGTAGACCCGGAGTGAGGTGATTGAAACCGTCACAGCAAATCTCAAATCAGTCAAGACCAAGGCCTTTCTTGTTGAGAGCTCGGCCGCACAATGCCAAAGTTCCTCTTGGAATTCGCAGGAGTTGGAGACGGATCCCGCGGTGCCACAGGACATCTTCAGATGAACCAGATTTTGGAAGTGAGCTG